GACCAACGCTACGGGATCTCGCCCGGCGGACCTGGCGAGCTACTTTTAATAGCATTTTCCCTTCCTTCAAACGCAAGAAAGATAAAGATGAGCACCCGCTTCTGTCATGGCAACGGCGTTCAGATGGGGAGCTGACGCCCCGATTGAAAGAAACTGGAAGTGTCGAGCTTGACGACGAATTGCATGCGTTCCTCGTGGCCCCTGTGCTTCGGCAAAGGCGGGAGGAGCAAGAATTGAGCGATTTTCGGTTCGCTTCCGATGTGAATGAAAAGGAAGCTAAGGCCGCCGATGCACTGTACGAATGTGAATGCTGCTTTGCCGACGTGACCTGGGAACAGGTCTCAACTTGCTCGACCGACGCCCATATAATCTGCTATCATTGCATCCAGCGAACAATATCCGAAGCCCTCTTTGGTCAAGGATGGGGCAAATCCGTCGACCTGGAACACACTACCTTGAAATGCATCGCACCTTTGTCTTCCGGTTCCTGTGATGGTTGTCTTCGGCCCCAAATCGTGCGGCAGGCCGTGCTGCTGGACACCGCTGGCCTAGAGACGTACCGCAAGTTCGAGGATCGACTGGCGTCCGAAACCCTTTTAAAATCGCAACTTAAGCTCATCAGATGCCCATTCTGTTCCTACGCCGAAGCTGATCCGGTGTATCACCCATCCTCGCGCGGTATTGGCTGGCGCTTTCGCCGAGATGGAGGTGTTATCTCCAGCATTTTAATGTCTCTTCTTATTCTTGACCTTATCCCTCTACTTATACCCATTCTCCTAATTCTCCTGCTCTTGGACCCGCCCTCCGCCAAGGCAATATTCAACAACGCAATCCGACACCTCTGCCTCAAAATCCGGCCCAAGAGATTCACTTGTGCCAATCCCTCTTGCAAGAAAGTCAGCTGCATGACCTGCCAAAAATCATGGCAAGACCCACACGTCTGCCACGAACCACTCCTTCTTGACCTCCGCGCAACAGTTGAAGCAGCCCGCACCGCCGCAGTAAAACGAACTTGCCCTCGCTGCGGCCTCTCCTTCGTCAAATCATCCGGCTGTAACAAGCTCACCTGCGTATGTGGGTATTCCATGTGCTATCTCTGCCGCAAAGCCCTGGGCCCTCCTATCCAACCGGCACGCCTCGCAGCTCCCATGAACCGTGCCGCAGCCCGACAGCCTGCAACCGACGGACCCGCAGAAGATGATGGCGGCGGGAACTCCGACGAGGACGAGTTTGAAGAACCGGAAGGCTATAAGCATTTCTGCGAACATTTCCGTATTAACCCCGGCTCTCGTTGCACGGAGTGTAGTAAATGTGACCTCTACCAGGCAGAAGATGAGGAAGCAGTTGCCCGACGTGCAGGTGAAAAAGCTGAACGCGAATGGCTCTCTCGTCAGGGGGAGTCAGAGTCAGCTAAAGGTACGGGTGCTAGTGCCTCCATATCTGCTATGGGGCTCCGCAATGTTAACCAGGACCTATCTGCTGGTGCGGACGGAAGTACCGGTGGCGCGAATCGGTCGTCGAATAATGCACTCTGGGACCTGGGCCCGCGTAAACCGTGGAGTTATTGGTTGGGGGATGTGTGGGTGAATGGGAGGTGGAAATTAGAGTGTCAGGTTTTTGTGGATTGGATTGTTGAGCAGGTTGTTGTTATTGACGAGTTGTGATGGAGAGAGCAAACAGAGCCCACTGTTTCTCGCCTCGCTGGCCATTTTCTAGACTCTCCTCTACTCATTTTCCCGACCCCTTTTTGTTCTTATTCTCTTTTCAGACCAGGATGTGATCTTCCCCACTAATTGGCGTTTGGATCTTACTGCGGACGACTGATGACTGATATGACAATTCGTGATTTTGTGCTAGGCTTAGCCTCACTTTCTTTAATAATTTTATTTCTGCTCTTAATGGTGATGGTTGAGTAGAAGGAATTCAAATGATATACCAGCGCTCTTCGCATAACCGCCCCGAAGTAATATCCCTGTCCCTGCATCACTCTATACCTAATCCCCTGCCCTGTACGCCTAGCGCTGGCTTCAAGTTGTGGTATAATTAAGTGCTCGAGTCAACCGAACACCTGGATCTGACTGAACACTAGTTCGAACACTAAGAAGCAATCACCTACTAGTAGTATACGGAGTGCTACGGGCGTAAGAGACAACGTGCGTAGTTCTAATACTAGCAGAACAACGATAGATACAAGCTTATGCCCCCACAGCATTACATCGGCAAAAGGTCAGACGTCGGGCCCACTCTTCCATCAATATAATTTACTAAACTTGGGCTCATAAACGGTGTGGCTGCCTCACAACCTAAACTTCCACAAGTTAAAACCAGATGTGATGAAAAATATTAGTACGGAGTATGCATAATCAATTTACCACCAGATTGGTACTGATATTATTCAACAAACCCAGCTGTATAGCCATAGTTAGAGCAGTTTCCCAAACGGGGAACGGTTTCGACAAACTCGCCCCACTCAATCCTTCACAAAACCCTTAAAGGAAAGTGGACTATCAAATGGCCCCCAAGGCTGCGGGACCCCAAACTTGAACCCATGGCCATCCCAGTCATTCTCGTCCTTCAGCTGGGTCCCCTGATGAAGATGAGTGGCGCCCGCTAGGCTCGATCTGTTGGGGGTCCCTGTAGATCATGGCGTTCCGGCATTAGATATGTCCTACTCATGGGGAGATGACTGCATATCACTGGGATGATACATTGAAGTGGGGGCTATAAACTCCGTTCTTATGTGTCAGAGACTTTTTATCATGCTCAATTTAATGTATTCTGCTTTGCCCCGTGAGCGTTACATTGTGGGTCTGTATTGAGGAGATGCATATGCCGTTAGAGTTAGCGACAACCTTGGAAGACACCACTCTCCTTGTGAGGAAGGCAATCAATCTCCTAGCAGGAGATAAATAGAAGATAATTTCAGGAGGAGTATCGGGATTCATACTCTTCGTTGCCACTCCTTTTACTTTGGGAGTTATCACTCCTTCGAGGTTTGACTTCTTCCTGTCGTCTTTCATTCTCATACTACTGCCATTTCCTTTCGACATTGATTCTTTGTCTATATTTTGAAGCAACATGCTTCTATCACTCGCTCTTACAGCTCTTGCTGCTCTTTCTGAGGTGCAGGGAGCCTCGGCATCTTCCGAATTCACCAACCCTCTCGTTGCCCCTCGTCGTAACTTCAAGCGTTGTGGTCAAGTCTCCAAGTACTATGGCCAACACCTTGAGGATTGGAACACCTACAAGACCGGTGATTGGCTTAATAACTGGTGGAACAACAACACCGACCTAATTGAGAAGAACTCTGCCGGTTTCGCAGGTGCCTTTGGACAATGGGCCCTGGGAAACCCGGATTGGTCCTGTCGTGACGATGGATCTAGCACGGATTGTGATCTGAACCTGTGCGATAACCGCGTTCTTAACGATCGTGGCCGTGACATTCGCCCTACCTACTACGTTCTTGAGTCCGTCAACCGTCTCCACAGTTACTTCAGCGGCCTCTCGCAGGCGTTCAACACCGCTGCTCTCAGTGCGGCTCTCGCCAAGGACTCGTGGGCTACAACTTTCTACACGGACAAAGATGATAAGAGTTCCGATAGTCTCAAGAAGGTCCTAAGCCTCGTCACCACAATTGTCGGAGTTGGCGCTGCTTTCGCCGGTATGGGTCCTGCAGCCGTTGGAGCCGCTGCCGGTGCTGGCTCAGCCATCATTTCCGGTTCAAACGGTGCTATCGGTATCGCCCTTGGAAACCACGCCGACGACACCTTCCAGAAATCCGCCGACCTAGGCGGAATTCTCAGCAAGGTGGTCGTCGAGTCGCTGGAGTCATTCACAACCGCTAACAACCAACTCATGGACGGCCAGAGCTACGGAGATGCCGATATCCGCAGCTACATCTCCGGCGGGGCTTTCGTTGATTTTCAAGGCGTCGACAAGAACGCCGTCACAGACTCCATGTCTAACATGCTGATCGGAACCTCTATCAACCAGCTGTATCGCACGCAGAAGATCTTCATCTTGGGCGGTGGTGCCTGTGGCGATAACCAGGGCATTGGCTCCGGTCCTCAGGAATCGGTCATCTGCCGCGATGGCAAGGCCTGGTACCTGTACTACTGGCAAGAGAACAGCGGTCCTTCGCTCAACTCGCACCAGTGGGGATGGGTCAACCCGCCCCCTGGCTCGGACAAGCTCGGACAGGCCGAGTACAAGGGTGTCAGTGTGGAGGATATTCTCAACTCGTCTCTCGATGCGTGGAACGTTGCTGGATACGACTACAACGCTGACACTGCGGCCTCGCGTGCGCACGATGCTATTTCCAGTGCATGGGCTAGCCCCGGCTCCAAGGGTGCGTCTTGGGAGGGTATCTTTACTGTCCCTGTTTGCGATGTCAGTGGTGCTATTGGGCAGAACTGGGATCATGGAGAGTATATTCTTCAGCCTTATGGTCATGAGAGCCGCCCTGTTTGGTGTGGTGATCTTTGCGGCGATGCGGATAAGACTAAGGCTTTTATCGAAGCTGCTCAGATGAATGGTTTCCAAAGCCCTTGGCACCTTTGCGAGTCGAAGCCTAGCTACGCATAAATCTTTGGTGTGGATAGTGTGAGACTTTATGGTGTGAGACTGAGGGACTGAGGTGATATTTTTGGGTGACTTTATTTGATTCTGCCTTTAGTAGTTATAGTATTCATATAGTGACGAAGGAGGTAAATTCTCTTGCCCTTTTTATCTACGGCTGCCTTTGCTTGGATCTTGATTCTAAACTGAAGTGACATTCTCTCCGTAATACTGGCGAAGGGACATGGCTAAGAATAAGAAGAGGAAGCGGGCGTAACTTGAAGAAAGAAGCACATCAAGGAAGCGAGGAAGAGTCCGTCAGAAAGGTAGAAATCCGGATGGTAAGCAATATGGCGTAAGAAAGGACATCAAGATAGCGAGGGAACAGGAGAGAGCGAAAAAAGGGAAAAAGAAGCAAGAAGCAAGGTCATATGGCAACGGAATCACTCCACATCCATATCGTCATCCTCCATATTATCCTCCACCGCTTCAAGGTCGAAGATCAGTCCGGATTCCCCCGATCCTTGCGCTGTGTGGCGAGACGTGTGTTTGGAGGAAACGGGTGACATTGAGGCCGCTTTCTTCATGAGGTATACTAACAGACCGAGTACCTGGCCGTAGTCGTTTCCAACAATATCGAATGTTTTGCGTGACCACTAGGAAATATTAGAATCGAGATCGCTGATGAGATTTAGATGCACTTACTTGAGACTCATTGTCAAGCTTGAGGAAGGTGAAACTCTGGGAATCGGTAGAAATCCCATAAACGGTGGTATCTGACTTTCCGAAGTCTTTCCGCTGCCTGTGTACGCAGCCTTTTGATACATCAGTATAAGAGCGCGTTCGAGGATATCGTGAAGTACTTGCCCATATAAGCCAGCGCCTGTGGAACCCCCATCGAGCCATAACTGAGTTTCTTGGCCTCCATTATTATGACGTTGACGTCGATGTCTTCCTCCTCTCCGTACCATATGCCGTAGTCAGGACGACCTGAAAGGACCCATCTCTTTCCCTTCCATTTTACAGGGGTATATGCCCATGTTCGTTCCGTCTGGATGTTCAGTGGTCGAGCGGACTTGTTTTTGGATGACGACACGAGGTCATGTGCGTAAATCAGAAGCAAGTTCAGCTTGCACCTGATACTCGCTTCATTCCGATTGCTGGAGCCGATGGCACGGTCGGTTTTCTCCAACCAAAGTTCTAGCTGATGTTAGCTCATTTTGATTTATGCGATCCATTGGGGCAACATACTTAAGACTGATGGGATGGGGATGGGTACAATGTGGTCAAACTCGTCGTCGATCACCAGAGTCAGATCAAGGATGGTCTGAACTTCATCCTGATCTAACGAAGTCACTGGGAGCGACAAGGGATTCTCAAACTCCTCCATGATTTTTTCTAGATCCTTAGAGTCAAGCTTGTTTGCCAGAATGCCGCGAATGCGGCGAAATACCTGCTTGTAATAAGCGACAGTAGGCATGGTGGAGATATGGTGTTGATGAGAAGTAAGAAAGATAAGCCCGTGAATGAAAGGAATAAAGAGTGAGAGAAAGGGCCGCGACCAGAAGCAAAAGAAGGTGAATTGGGTTTGTAGACTGCGTCGGTCTTAGTTCTTAGTTGTTGAGCCTGATTTCCAAGGCATAGATATTCCCGATTGGGCTTAGTAGTTGGTCATGAGCGGACCCATTCGTCATTCAACCGCGCTTCTCTTCATCCAGCTCCCCATTGACTCGCTTCTTAGCCTCCTCTTTCAACTGTTCATCGTCTGATCTCTTCAGCCCCACTTGAGGCATTAGCCACCAGGCCAAGAAGAAGGCCAAGGCAGATAGCGAGGCTCCAATGATGAAGACAATTCGGAAGCCCTTCTGATAGGCTGGGATCAGGACACTGCGGATATGCTCTGCGTCTTCGGGCGACTGTTTGGAAAGATAGTTTTGGGGACTTGAAAGAAGTGACCGTGACTCGGAGACGCCAAGGTTGAGGGATGAAATGGATGATCCCAAGACGTTGTTTCTGGGGTTGTCAGTATGACGGAGTAAGATATGAGGTTAAAGTGCAGGGCGAAAGTACTCACATTATTGTACCAGCAATTGCTAGGCCAAGGGTACCACCGAGATTTCGAACAAAACTGAAAGTTGTTAGATAGTGCATAGTGTTAGATGATGTTATACTTACTTGCGGAATGACGTGACGACAGCCATATCACGTCTTTCGACACCAGCTTGTACTGCAATCAGCGACCTAGTAGAATAGTTAGTGAAGAACTGGGCATACTTGGAAAATAGTATCAAAGCGTACGGCTGCAAGGTATTACCGACACCAGCGCCAGTCAGGATTCCATATCCAATTTGTTTGCCGAGCCCAGATGATTGGTCCAGTGTTGAGAAGAGACCAAGACCAACAGCCCATATAACCCAGCCGAAGAGGATACACTCTCGATAACGACCGACCCAGTGCACGACAAGGCCAGAAAGAGTACTACTGACAGCTGTGGGGTTGCAGTTAGCGTCGAAGCACACAAGTAAAAGAGAAAACAGCATTGACTTACTCTGCATCAAAGTAATTGGCAGTAGCATAGCACCAGCCTTGACTGTCGAATATCCAAAAACAAGCTGGTAGAAAGTAGGAATATAATAGACCTGGACCAGGAAGTTCCACCCATTGACGAACATAGTCAAGCAAGCTCCGTTCACAATTCGACCACGGAAGATATGCACAGGGACCAGGGGGATTCGGGCGCCCTTCCATTGCCACGCTACAAATACAAGGGAAATCACAAACCCAACAACCAGGGTCACGATGACATGGACCGAATTCCATGCATACTCACCACCACCCCAATTCAGACCGAGTAGCAAAACCGCCGTTCCACCCAAAGCCAACAGGGCACCGAAGAAATCAATCGCTTTCAACTTCAGTTTCCAGTCTCCCTCAACCTTGCGCAATGGCATGAAAAATAGCACGAAAAGGGTTGTCAGTGCAGTCAATGGCAAATTCAGTCGAAAGATCCATCGCCACGAGTCGTGTGAGATCGAAGCTAAAGCTCCGCCAACGACGGGTCCAATGCCGTTCGCAATTGCTACCACTGCACCGAGGATTCCTTGATATTTGCCTCGTTCTTGTAGAGGAACCACGTCGCTCACAATCATTTGGGCCACGGTCATTAGACCTCCACCACCGACACCGGTGAGTGCGCGGAAGACGACGAGTTGGGTGACATTTTGTGCGAGAGATGCGGCTAGCGATCCGATGAAGAAGATGCCGAGTCCGACAAATAGGACAATTTTCCGTGACCATATGTCGGATAATTTGCCGTAGAGGAGCTGGAAACAAGTTGATGTTCTGCGACATTAGCTATTTGCCTCCCAAGGGGAAAAAGCGAGAAAAACAAGCGATGTATAGAGCGGAAAAGCAGTTATGGCAAGAATGAACGAATGAATAGACTTAGAATAACGATAAGGCACTTTGTTCGTTTACTTACACAAAATAACCACCGGAAATCCAGGATGTTTGGTCACTCGCTCCCAATGAATTGCCAATGATGGACAGACTGGCCGCCAGCGTCGTCTGGTCCATCAAGGCCAACAGGTCAACGGTCGAACATGCTAGGAAGATCTAGTGGAGTCAGTCCGATCGAACATCAACTTGTTATCTGATTTAATTTAGTCGCGTTTGGCGATACTAACGGTGATGATGGTGCGCTTGGGCACATAATTTGTTTGTTCGTTGAAAAGTACCCGAGCCCCATTTTTGTCCGCCAAATCGGCATCCGAGCAGTTGGGGCTGGAGTGGCCTGATCTATTTTCTAGAACTCCGGGCATATCGTGTGCAACGGGGATAGGTTGCGATGGGTAGCCAGGTATCCTCCTAGATACTTCTAGGGATGTAGGAAGGAGTTTCTGGATGAAGCAAGATGCATTCAGGTTGATTTTACGCTTCCCCTTTTTCTTGGTCACGTAGGAAGGGACCAAAAAAATAAAAAGAATTCAAAGGAAATTATTCGATTCAAAATAATATGGATTACGGATCCATCCGATCCGAAGTAATGAGGCCATCCATCCTCAGACCCGACCAGACCGCATTTCTGAGTGCCATCGGTGCTATTCAGACGCGGTCGGACCTAAAACGACATGGATCGACACGCAAAAGCGGCAGCTGGATGACAGGCGCTGATCGGCGGCGCCCAAAGTTTTCAAACCTGCTCAAACACTCTCAAGGTACTTACGCGATCTCGCATCTTTTGTCGGAATCATATCGACATCTGGTAATTCATGGGGTTTGGCAGCAAAGTCGCCAAGTGAGAGCTGGCAGCTTGAGGACCTTTAGTATATAGTTTCTGGGCATTGTCTTGGTATTTTTGTAGTAGGGGACCTTGCTGCCCTCTATTACTGCTGATCGCAGACTAAAAAGCACATGGTAGCGTGTCATTCGTACTGACGAATGACGAATTCCACAATTTGCCTTCTAGAACGATCACTTCCCCGAATACCACGACGGGGAAGCGATGCGAGTCCCGTCGATCTCTCCGTTTTCAAATTTCCCGATCCAGTTTCCATGACAAACTAAAGGCAGGCTGACCAAGGTCCACGCCATCGGCGTCTGCACGCCATCTAGAGCTCACAATTGGGCTACAGTAGCAATTTCAATTAAACTATAATAATTCCCGAGGCAAACCTCCTAAGGTACCCAGCGCATTACCTATTTTCACTGACCCACCGCCCTCCTTCCTATTTCATCGTCGCGGGGTGTTGTTTTTTGGCGCTTGCAGCGTTCTCGGAACGAGCTGGGTCTGATTTGTCTTACCCCTCTGCTGGCTGGCCGTGGTAGCAACATACCATAGACGGGTCAAAATTGTCACAGTGGATCTGAAGATGAGCGGCTTTTGCGTCTTTTCTTTTTACACCTTTCGGGTGCCAAGCCGACGCAAAGGGAAGAGGGGGGGCCTTCAAGGGACTCTCCTCAGCGGCTTGATCGACATGAAGAAGTATATCTGGGGAGCTGGCACCCGGGTTTTTCTCTCCTTCCCTTTTTTTGTGCAACCAGCGTGAGTATCAACCTTGGAGTTCTCATCTCTCGGCCCTTTCAGTATTATGGGCGTTGGTGGAAGCAAGGTGTCAGATACTTTCGATACTACTCCTGATCATCCTGATAAAATGGCCAACATCAATGAGAAGAATGTGTACTTCGGTACGGATTCACTGAAGAAATACTTCAATCCGGACTGTCAGCCACCATTGCCTCTGGTGGAATTGCCCGAGCATCTGAATCCATATTATCATGATGGAGTTCGGATATATGCCAAAATGATGACCATGCACCCCGCCAATAATGTGAAGAGCATGCCAGGTATGACAAATGCCTGAAAATAATGCGAGTATTTATACTTACATATTGGTAGCGTTAAATATGCTCGAGTCGAGTGTGCAGGCCGATAAGACCAACACCATCATCGAGTATAGTTCCGGGTCGACGGTCATCTCCATGTCCATGATTGCTCGAGTCATGCACGGTGTGCAAGACACTCGGGCTTTCTTAAGCAACAAGACAAGTGATGCTAAATTGAAACTGATGCAATTCTTTGGACTGAACATCACACTGTTCGGTGGTCCTTCTCAGCCTGAGCCCGTGGACAGTCGCGGTGGTATTCAAAATGCCCGCCGTATGGCCATGGAATCCGAAGATATTGTCAACCCCAACCAATATGAGAACGATAAGAACTGGCAGTCTCATATTCGCTGGACTGGTCCTCAAATTTACAAACAACTGCCCGAGATCAACGTCCTCTGTGCGGGCATGGGTACTTCCGGTACTATGACAGGCCTCGGAACATACTTCAAAAGCGTCAAGCCATCCGTAACGAGGCTCGGCGTGTGCACAGCAGCTGGAGACCGGGTTCCTGGACCTCGCTCCTTCGCTCTCATGCGACCAGTGGAGTTCCCCTGGAAAGAAGCAGTGGATGTGATTGAGGAGGTCGGATCCTCCGACTCATACACTCTTTCTCTACAGCTCTGCCGCGAGGGGCTGGTATGTGGCCCGTCCTCCGGATTCAATCTTCAAGGTCTGTTTCAGATGGTATCAAAGCGCAAGGCAGCTGGCACATTATCCGATCTGGCGGGTCCAGATGGATTGACCCACTGCGTATTCCTGTGCTGCGATCTCCCATACCAGTACATCGAAGAATACTTCCAGAAGTTGGGGACCACACAATTCCCTCCTATCCGCAACGAGGTAAGCACACTTTCCAAAAGAACTGGATCCAATGCTATGACCTGTCGACGCCACAATACAAATGAAACCTCGGTGACCCCGTACTAATCCACTTTCTTCCCCGCAGCGCCTGACGAAAGTTGATCTCCACCGCTACGATGAGGCCTGGGAACGCGATGCCCTCGAAGTACTACCCGAGGTATACGGATCACCACGCTCTCTCGCAGAAACGCCGCTACGAGAAATCACGCTGAAGCCTCAGCACCGGGTGATAGATTTGCGAAAAGCAGCTGACTTCGAGGAGTGGCATTTGCCCGAGTCGATTAACCTGCCGCTGATCAGTGCTGGCCCGCACACGCCGTCGCCGTTTTCGGATCCTACGGTGCTGGAGGCGCAGTGGGTGGAGCTGGAGCAGATCTTCCATGATAGATTGGTATCGGATCTTGGATCGCATCACGTTGTGGTCGTGTGCTATGATGGGGACACGGCACGCGTGGCAACCAGCGTGCTGCGGGCCCGCAGCATCGAAGCGGATAGCGTACGTGGGGGATACCGGGCACTGAAGATATATGGGATCGGAAATGATGGGCCCATCACTGCGGATGAGAAGGTCAAGGTACCGATTGCAACAACGGTTTCGGTATCGGCAGTGACCCTTGATTGAGGAGAATGTCGGGAGTCGAGAATGTAGGGTTGGTCGAGCCATGTGAGCGGCTAGTCCCGATGCGGTAGTTCTGGGACATTTCTTGTTTTCTATTTCTTATTGTTCTGTCTTGTTCTTTTGTATATACACGGATATTATGATACTCTCAGCTTGGTATATGAAATCACAGGCTATTTTCTTTCTTATTTTCTCTTTTAATTTCTATGGTTCATGAAACCCTAGAAGTTTGTACCAAGATCGGACTGTGTGGATCCACTCTCCTGTATTATCCGGGGAGAGGGGCGTTGGGTTGCATAGTTACGTCAGTGAAGAAGATTTGATCTGAAGAGTGAACTTTAGTACTTTCAATAATCCGAAGAATCCGAATGGCTCTTTGCGTAGAGTATGTCAGTAACTTGGATAATCTGGCGACTGGTGTAGAGTCTAGACTATACCTGGCATCTCCATGCGAAGAAGTGTAGAAGGGGCCGTGCATTGTCAGGGGTCGATCACGCTCAAATCTGCTCAAATCTAAGCTCCCCACCTCTTTAGATCAAAAAAAGCCACCAACGTACTTTAGACGAGGTAATTCGCTCTAATATGAGCAGCTCCGCTTTTGGGCTGGGTGTTCCCGGGACACAAGCATTGAACTAGCAATACTATAGAAGCAAAATAGAACAATGCTGCAAAAAAAGGGGCAGTCTCCAGGGCTCAAGAATGTCTAAAAAAAATACGGTAGATTACCTGGAATGAACCAAGTTCGAGTATGGCCACAGTCACTCCCTTGGTTCGCATCCGTTGGCCCTGCAATGCGCTCCCCAAGGCTCCCTCAAGTCGATTCCCGTTTTCGGCCATGCAACCTTCTATCATTAGCGACTTTCCAGCGAACTCAGTCATGATGCGCGATTCGACACTTTAATGTTCCGATCGACTCCGTTTTCTCCGGTCGATTTCTGCCCTCCATAACCAGCGGATTGCCACATCTCGGCTTTGTTGTTGACTTGATGCTGAGCTCCGACTGTGTGTACCTGTATACGAGTGGTTCACCATGGAGATGAAGATGGACATGAAGAAGATGGCCTCTGGGGTCCCCTGGCTGGATCAGCCAGTGATGCTTCACTCCTCTCGCGCCGATAAGTGCAAGTTGTCTGCAGAGCAATGCGCTTATCGAAATAGTCGCTGGCGCTATTGGTATGTTTTGCGAGAGGCACTGCGCTGTTTCGCATGCTGTCTATACTGCACTTGTTGAGATATAAACATTAACAAAAACTTCACTACAGGTACCAAGCCGACCATGTCTACGCCCTAAATACAGTATATCTCATGTGTGCTGTCATCGCCGTCTTTGCCATATCGAATCTTCTCATGCGATATGCCCCCGAATGGGTCAAGCGCACTCGAGTCTGGCGTGCGACAACATCGACCTCTCGATATATGGCCTACCGCGGATATCGATTCCCCGTCTTGCGGTACTGGTCACCATGCCTGGGAGTTATCCTTCTTGGCCTGGCCGGTGCTGTTTTCTTTCTTGGTATGTGGGATTCCCGCCGAGCAACGGGCCGTTGCCCCTCTCCCCCATTCCCTGATTGATAATGCTGATGCGGCTATCTGCAGCCATGACACTCGGTCCGAAACCTTATTATTGGCCGACAGATGCAAATTATGGAAGCAGTCCTCCGATCGCGACGAGAGCGGGTTGGATGGCTTTGGCACTACTGCCGTTTGTGCTGTATGTTCTGACTTAGGTTTTCATATGGCCATATTGCTAATTTGTCTAGTGTGCTGAGTGCAAAGGCCAACATGGTTTCTGCCTTAACGGGGATTCCTCCTGAGAAGTTGCAGGTTTTCCATCACTGGACGAGTTACGCCATGTTCGTTTTGGCATTGGTTCATACGTTCCCATATATTATTTTTCATATTCGGAAAGGCGATATGGTCAAGCAGTGGAAAACAAGTGTTGTTTACTGGACCGGTATCCCAGCTCTCCTTTCGCAGACCTACTTAACTGTTATGTCTTTACCTCTCATTCGGTATGATCAAATCTGCCTTCTCGATGACCTGTATGACTAACCTTCCCCAGGAACCGTTTCTATGAATTCTTCAAGGCAACTCATATGTTTGCCGCTATAATCTTTGTCGTCTTCTTCTTCCTTCATTGCGACTTTCGCTTGAGCTCATGGTAAGCTACTCACTGCGCCTTTCCCAAATGACTACTAATAAAAGAAAGGGACTATTTTATTGCCTCTGGTGTGCTGTATTTAGTTTCACTTATCGTAGCTCACGTCCGAACTTATCTTATGCACGGTATTCACACAGCCACCCTCGAACTCCTTCCAAGCGGTCTCGTCCGCGTCGCCGTCCCTACAGTCGTTAAATGGACACCGGGCCAACATGTCTTCGTCCGGTTCATCACATCTGACCTCCATCTCCTCACATCCCACCCATTCACAATCTCTTCAGTCTACCGAGATCCAGACACAACTGGCCGAGTCTCAGAGCTCATATTCTACATCAAGCCCCGTCAAGGTGTAACAGCCCGTCTTGCCGCCTTAGCTCGCAAACGCCCCGGCTGCAAAAAGAAGATTCTCATCGAAGGTCCCTACGGAGGCGTCAGTGCCCACCACCTCGCCCGTTTCGACACCATTTTAGTCATTGCTGGTGGTTCGGGCGGCGGGTTCTCGCTTGCAATGGTAGACGAAGCTCTTCGTCTAACGGGACTACCAGCAGATGGCAAATCTGGACCACAAGGCCGGCGAAACTTGCAAGTCGTGTTCTCAACCCGAGATCCCGCTATGGCCGAATGGTATGTTGAAGAGGTGGAATCGCGCCTCACTCATTCTACGGAGCTTCTATCAGACGCAGAACACGGCTATGAGACCTCTGTTTCGGTTCATATCACTTCCCGGCCAATGACATCCCAATCAATGGCAACCGTTGATTCAGGCCGTGGATCCATGTCGGAGGAAAGGAAAAAGATGCCGGTTGAAAGTACCACGACAGGGATGTTCAGCTTGAATGTGCACCGTGATGCACGACCGGATGTCCCGGGTCTTATTGCCCGGACCGTCGCGGTTGCTCAGACACAAACTGCCCCCGGCGGCCAACGTAAGCGGATCGGTGTTTTAGTATGTGGCCCAGCCAGTATGTTGCATGATACGCGGAACGCGGCGGCCGTGGCCCAGGCGAGGGCAATGGAGGGAGATGTTGAGGAGCTTTACCTACACTCGGAACCTTTTGCGTGAGTCTCGTGACGATATAAAATGCGAATTCTGGAGTTATTGCTAATACTTTGCCTAGGGTGGTGAAAGCTGTCTAACTAATCTACGAAGCCATACTGATTGGTCGCTAGAGCCGACATCTGCTGGGCTGATGTTGCTCGCAAAATTGCCCTTTGTGCACCCTTTATGTATATTATTATCATCAATTGTAATAACTAGCTTTACCAAGATCGACTCTCGTCGAAATATCCTTCCAGCTTCTAGCTCTTATCACCGTTTTCTAAATTTGAGCACCATCTTCCTCCGAGACGTGACGTGAAATTATTATATGCCAAGGACTTTCGAGATTATTCGTGTTTAGAAAGGTGAGCCTCGGCTTCTTCGGTAATTTTCACAGAAAACACGAGTCAGATTGAGCCACAGATCAACGGCCACGCCACACTTCTCAACTAAAACTGAGCCATTCCAGATTCTTCATAGATAACCCGGGCAAACGACAACACTCAGCCACATGCCCAAATATAACCTTATGGCCGTTTTGATATACCCGCATAAGAGGCGCTATACGTAGTTGAAGGTGATTCGTAGAATGGCAGCTTATACCCGAAAGTCTGCCCTGGCGGGCTTGGCAAGCAGGGGGCAAGAGTCGTTCCAGCCACTGAAATAGACTACGCGTGGTTTGCTCGTGTCAATCTCATAATTCTATACGGAGCGCTATTGGGTTTATTGGGAAATGGCCCTGATTTGCGACGCCAAGGACCTAGTGTGTGCCTATACGAAATGTAGAGATAATAGGTTCGGACTCGGATATCGTTTGGCAACTCGGGCTGTGCTTTTGAGGACAGAGCCGCACAACATAACTTTTGGAATATTTAAAGTCGATGTGACTCTGAGTTGACTCTATATTTTGGCTCTCAAAGCAACTACTGGGTCATTCAATATGCCTCGAAACACGACTCGACGGACTGGAGGGCCGAATTACGAATATGGTCGGCTTGACTACGCTGAGCCTATCCGTGGAAATGGTGCGTGCTCTACCCTATTTCGAGCCAGGGAGAAGATCAACTTGGACTAATTTTTCCGTAGGCGATTATAAGAAATGCAGATATCCGCCCCCGAAGAAGCGGTCTACGAAAAAATCTAAATACATCTACCAAGGGATTTCATATGGCGGCTTTATAGTGATGGCGTGTCTAATTGCCGTCGTGGTAGCTTTCATCATCGTCTTCGCCGTTAAAAAGCATAAAGCTGGCGGAATCAGCTCGGATAGTCCAGAATATGCGCTGTACAAAAACACCCGCTTCCAAGAATGCTATAATAATGCGTCGGTATCAGCAAACACTGACTGCACTGCGGTTGAAAATCGGCTAAATAACGGGCGATCATCCGGCTTCGAAGAAAACAATGTTGCGTACATCAACACTGATACCCTTTACGATGGTGACAACTACGATATTTCCTGGGAGTGGTGCGAGATGATCAGCTGCTTTTCAGATTTTAAGATTGTCCCATCTAAGCCTCGCCCTCTAGCCATCTGGCCAACACTTCTTACGACCTGGGGCCCGGTGGCTCTTTACATTGTCGGGTCAATCTTTCAGTTTGTCAGACAGCAAAAAGGGGTCTATAGCAAGAAGAAAAAGGCTTGCAAGGGATTGAAAGAAATAAGTGTTCTCGACTGGGGTGTTCACGCCTACGATTTCGCGTCTATTGTCTGGTGGTGGTATTCGTTCAGTCGTCTAGTGGCAAATCCAAGTCATGAAAGTACACCCATTCCCGTCGGATGGGTGACTATTTGGAAATATGCGGGGATGATCAGATTCCATCCTTATTCCTGTGCATCTCGAAAGAACCCGCGCAAAATCAAGATCGCCCGTGGGTTCCTTTATTTTCTTGCCGCCGCTCAGTGGGTTGCTGCATGCTATATCCTGCATATCAATTGGCCTGTCTATGGCCGCCGTACACCGAATCCCAGCTACGATTGCGTCCTTGCCGAAATTGATGCTGCACCGGGTACTTCGTCCTGCACAGCCGAAAAGATTTGCTCGCGAAATTGGCTATTTGTTGATGAAGGATTCCGTCTTGGCTCTGAGAGAAATGATGCTTTGCTCGGTCTTCTAATACTTTTTGGTACATTGACGCTTGCAGCACTGTGGCCTCTTTTGATGGTTGCCATACTGCCAATCATGAGATCTAAGGGAGATACCGACCCAGATAGTAAAGCTAGGAGAATTTTGAGCTGGGGAGATGTGGGCCCCGTTGTCTCTATTTGTGTTTGCTCCTTCTTTGGAATTATCGTTGGAGCCATGCTCATAAGTGAATTGGTGAAAAGACTGGACGCAACGCCTGACGCAGAGGTTAATTTTGACTGGGAATGCAAGGCTGTTCATGTATCTCTGAGTTCTTGGAGATATTATGTGGATGTGGACTATGAGAAGGGATTGCGGTTCGCTAAGATGTGGTTCAATTCTTGATTTTTCTCTCTCTCATCTGTGGTCTCATATCTCATTTGTTTTAGTACCCTACGGTCTTCTAATAACCAATATTTTTTGGAAATTTCAAAGACTCCAGGATAGTCCTTTTGTCCATTCGTAAAAGGAAGTATGCTAAAATGCTGCACGGGGAAGCAATTGCTTCGCTTAGTAAAACAGTTGCTCCTTGAACGAGATAGTCTTCTGGTGTTCCATAGTATTGCTCAAGTCTACTTAGTCACGATTCTTTGCTGTGGGAAGAGGCAAGTCATAAGGTGATCTTTGATGCGCTCGCTAACGAGGAGACGTTTTTGGGTACGGCTGAGAATGTGACGCTGGAGGATTGCAGTAGAGAGGGCATGATGGCGCCCAATCTCCCGCCCGGTTCGGAGGAGCGACATGCGGAAATTATGCCTGAGCTATCTGATTATGCGTCCAGGATGCCACTGACCGGAGGTTCCGCTCTTCGAATATACAGAGCCTAAGGTTAGATGTGGTTGTTTGATGAATGTAACTTCCAAAGATCATGATAGCTTCCATTGGAGTGTCTGATAGAAGCCTGATCACAGTTCTACTTAGCCTGATATTCAACAATAGAAAAAGTTTGCCAGGGGAGAAAGACGCTAGAAGACAGATCCAGTATATCATATTTAATAGGTAGCACCTACTCAAGTATTTTCGAGTGTTTGACTGTTGGAACCTGAATCGAACCTCTACGAGACTTGACGCTATTCAAAAATAATCTGACTGTTCTTTGCATCAACTCATAAAAACATTTCACATTCTGCTTCGTTACTTTAGATGCTATGTACTTGCCTTTCCTAGTACCGGCAACCTAGTACCTGCTACTAGTAGTAGCACCTACTGGTAGGCAAATAGGCGGAGATTGGGTACTGGGTAGCTACTAGTATAGGAAAACTGAAGGACTTGATCAAATCAATACTCACAATATTACCTACTGGTAGCAAAGCTGATTTCCGAACTTGAAGAAACTTCAAAGAATCCATTAACTTTGAGTCAGATTATTCACTAAGTACTATATCACAGTCTAATCCCATGTCCTAGTCTAACAATAATATGACAATAACAAGGAAAGTGAAAAAAGGAAGAAAACCCAAAACGCCATGGCCATGAGATGCGAAAATGTCTAAAAAAGAAAGATCGAACCAGAAGAAGACAGGCCAACACCAGCCCAGTAAACGCCACATCCACACCCACACCCGTAAGCCCCGAAAAGCCAACAAAGTATGTGAGAGAAAGCAGGGAGAAAAAAAGACATAAGAACAAGAACCCGAAAGTCTAGAGTGGAGATAAAGTCATCAGATCATACCGAAAACAAACAGCACACAACAAACCCAAACACTAAGCCTTCATCTTCTCCGCCTCCTCAAGCCTGCCCATAAGCACAGCCCGAAGTCTAACATTAACAACACCACCAACACCATAAGCAGGAACGATCTTCCCCATACGCGCAAAGCATGAAGGGACATAATCCCTTCGAATCCTCGCAATACGGTCCCCGGCACTAAGTCCACCAACCGGTTGCCGGTTATACAGATCCAGACCGAGCAAGTGCATCGGCGTACTGAAGAACTGCATCAGAGCGGGACACGCGAATTGCGCGACGGCGGCTTTCATTGCGGGTGTTGATGCGATGAAATCCGGAATCGCGGGAGCGATGAGTGGGGGGACGTTAAATGAGGCGAAGATCGTTACGCTGTCGCGGAGGCAGAAGAGGGTGAAGCTTGTTATGGGGATTTTGGGTCCTGCTGCTGCGGGTTGAGGTGGAGGAGGTGGAGGAGGTGGAGGAGGGCGGAGGGATGTATGTTGTGTTGATTTCGGGAATGGATATCTTTGTATTTGTTGTTGTTGCGGCTGCGGCTGCGGCTGCGGTGGCTGCTGCTGCGCGCCGAAAATCTTCGCAAAGCGCGCATCTTTGTAGACGCAGATGGCCATGTTCACGGTTGTTGTGGAAATAAATTTAGCCGGGCCCGGGGTGACGGTGTCGTAAGGTTGATTGCGGTATGTAGAGGTTATGGTGTCGATGGCGTTGGCGGTTAGATAGGTTGAGCTGTAGAGGGTATATATGAGGAGGAAAGGGGTGCCCAGGAAGAAGGAGGAAGGCTTTGCAACCATTGATTTGAGGCAGGATTTGATTGTGTTTTGGATGGGGAAGCCTTTTGAGGCTTTTTCGATGATTGCACTGTTTTTCGCAGACGAAAAATTAGCTTAGTCTAGCACTAGTAGCCATTCTGGAAAATTGAAAGATGGGAATAGGAATATATTGAATGGATTTATAGCAGAATTGATTGTTTTTCTTTGCTTACCGGTCAATGATGGTAATGAGCGGACAAGTCAACGCGCCGGCGGCCGCAGCACTCGCGACGTCCACGCCTAGGCGTAAACCCAGGTCTTTTGTGTTCCATTGTGCCTTAGGGGGCGAAGGGGAGTCCTTTTTACTCCATGTTGTGTTCACTGGGGAGGGTGTCGGGTGCGACACTTGTTCGATTGTAGCCATATTCAACGTATCCTGCGCGATGGCATCGCGAGTCATACTCTGGTGAGCGGAGCGGAGAGCGGAGAGCGGAGATCGGGAAATCACGGGTGCATGGGATAGTTTGATACGAGCTGCTATGCTGCACCTCGTGGAATGAAAATGCAAAGGTGAAGGCAAACACAGGCTAGAGTGAGCGTGAGAGTGAAAGTAGAGTGAAGGTGAGAAACAAGTCAGATTGAAGATCGAATTGAGGGAGAAGCATTAACAAGCCGAACGGCAATTGCGCAGGAGCAGGGACCAATCAGACCAATCACAGCGGAGAAAGAAGCACGGAGGTCATCTCGGGTATCGGGCGAGAACCACCCGGCTCCGATGCCGGGGGCCGCCGGATAAACGATATCTACTAGTAGTTCTCCGTAGTAGTACTATACGTGATACTCTCCCTTCTGTCGTGAAAAGATATGTTATACTTCATTGTGGTATGTTTAATCCGAAACGCCATGTAACTAATCATCTCCATCATATACCTACTCGACCTGAGTCTGAGCCTGGAATCCATCCAGTGTCACATTCACCGCACCCGCCTGCACAAGCTGTTATCACAATTAGAGTTAGCAGAGGGATTTCTAACACCAAACCACCCAAACCATGGGTCGGACATAAGAGAGGGGAAAGAAACACTCACAGCACGTTGCAAATCATCAATCAAATCATCAACATCCTCAATACCCACACACAACCGAATCAAATCCTCCGGAAGCGCCCGTTCCGCCCTCGTCTTCGCATCAATACTAGCATGACTCATGCGGCAGGGCATACTAATCAAACTATTCACACACCCAAAGGAAACACTAATAGCCCAGATCTTCGCGCTCTCCACAATCCGCTCGCTGACATTGACATCGCCGGTCTCGAAGGAAAGCACGGCGCCCGCGCCACGCGCCATCGAATTATGCAACTCATACTGCGGGTGCGAGCGAAGTCCAGGGTATCGCACCTTGAATCCGTGCCCTTCGAGGAACTCTGCAATACGCTGCGCATTGCTCTGCTGCTGGTCCATGCGGACCTTGAGCGTTTTCACGCCGCGGAGAAGGAGCCAAGAGTCGAAGGGTGAGAGACCGCATCCTGACGCGTTGATGGGGAAGTACAGACGTTCGCCGAGGGCGAGGTCGTTGACCGCGAGGACACCGGCCATCAGGTCGTGGTGGCCGGAGAGGTACTTGGTACCGGATTCGTAGACGATGTCAGCGCCTAGTTCGAGAGGGTTGAGGAGGAGGGGCGACATCATGGTGTTATCGACAGAGACGATGCAGGATGGGTTTGCTTCGTGGGCTGCGGAAGCGATGGTGCCGATGTCGACGATTTTGATGAGAGGGTTGGTTGGGGTTTCGAGGAGGACCATGGCGGTCTTGTCGTTCAGGACTTCAGTCACCTTTTCCGGCTGTGTGGTGTCGACGTGGTGCACTTTGATGCCCCCGTTGTCGGAGAGGTATTTCAGTAGACGGTTTGTGCCGCCGTAGATGTCGTCGCCGGCGACGACTTCGTCACCGGGACGCAGGAGGCGGGTGATGACGTCCAGCGCCGCCATGCCGGATGATACCACTAGAGCGCGCTGTGCGGACATGATCTTCGCTAGGTGTCGCTCCAGGTGGGTGCGGGTCGGGTTACCGGACCGTGTGTAGTCATACTCTCCACCTCCGCCGCCGGAGGTCTGCTTGAAGGTGGCGCTCTGTGAGGGTGTGTGGGTTAGCCTTTTTGGTTTTGTTGCAGATGAATTGGGAGGATGGGTGGGGGAATGGAGGGGGATGCATGTTGCACACAATATCCTTACCTGGTAGATCGGCACGCTGCTGGCATTGTACTGGTCGTTTCCCTCGGTGAAGACCAGCTCGGTGGCAATGTTGTAGCGGCGGCCACCGTGAGGGCTGGAGGGCGCGGGGGAAGGCGGGAGGTCGTTGCCTTGGAGGTCAACGGAAGGAAACGCCTTCTTCAAGGAGTTCAAGGAACCCGATGGCGCGTTGGACCCGGATCCTGATCCTGAGGCCGACATCGCTGAGGCGGGGTAGTGAAAGTTTGACAATGGCAATGGCACGGATGCGAGATGGGAGGAGATGGATGGAGGCAATTGAAATCAAGTCAAGGGTAAGAAAGGTCGTAGAAATCAGATGCAAAGATATGTGGGAAAGGGAGAAATGAGTCGAAGTCGACAAAAATGTAAGTAGTCAACCCCGGACAGGCCAAATGACTCCGCCATTGGTGGCCCTTGGCGAATCGCGGGCCTTTGCGATTTCGTCATCCACTAGGCCCGATTGGGAGAGTTGCGGTGGAAAATGTAGCCATACTATACTCGTACACTAGGGGAATACTGTAAATAGGGAGGATTACCAGGAATACTCGGCTGCTATAATTGACGTGATTGCATTTGGTACTCGTAGCAACTGCTATTGTCCATCGCTAGCTCCACCCCAGTAAACGCCATCCATTTTGAATAGCCAAGCCAAACAGA